CTGCTTCATTATATCTATCTCTTTATAGCACAGCATTCGTCTACCTCATCCCATGGTGCTGTGTTGGGTGCTTCAGTAACCTTTCACCCTGTTTCAATACCATGGCATTAAATATAAGGTTACTTTAACACCATTTAACAGCATTTAACATTGCAACATGCAATACATACGTAAACATATGTATGTGCATATGTATCTACATATGTTACATATGTGATACATATTTAATATGTAATTTATAAACACCTTTTCTCTTCTTCCCAGCCCCAACATCTCAAAAGGGAATCACAGTCATAGAATCATAGAATAGTTCGGGTTGGAAAAGACCTTAAGATCATCAAGTTCCAACCCCCTGCCATGGGCAGGGACACCTCGCTCTAAACCATCTCACCCAAGGCTTCATTCAACCTGGCCTTGAACACTGCCAGGGATGGAGCATTCACAACCTCCCTGGGCAACCCATTCCAGTGCCTCACCACCCTAACAGGAAAGAATTTCCTCCTTATATCCAATCTAAATTTCCCCTGTTTCAGTTTTAACCCATTACCCCTTGTCCTGTCACTACAGTCCCTAATGAAGAGTCCATCCCCAGCATCCCTATAGGCCCCCTTCAGATACTGGAAGGCTGCTATGAGGTCTCCGTGCAGTCTTCTCCAGGCTGAACAGCCCCAACTTTCTCAGCCTCATGTCTCCATCCTGCTTTTTGTCGGTGCAGTGGCTCCCGGGATGAACAGCTCCAGCCCAAATTCAACAGCACAAAAACTCTAGTCGGCTTGGAGGGAGATGTCACCTGCCCAAACCTCTTAGGACTGTCCTTGGAGCACTGGCCACACACACATAAAGTTTGGCTTTCCTACAGGGGTGGGAATGTCACCCGAAAGCAACTCTGCCCAAGTGTGGCAAATTCACCCAGCATTGCAGCCCAGCATAATTAAGCAGCATTCTCATTCACGTCATCTCCTGGCTTTGGCATAGGTTTTATTACAGTCATTACAAAGACAGATATTACTTTTGGATTGACTCACTTGATGGGTTGATCAGCACTTTATTGTAGCCTCCAGTTATAGCACTTTTTATGGCATCCAGAAGAACTTAACCATTAGCACACTATTAGGAAGAGCACTGGCAGCTGATTAAGTTGCTGAAGGTCAAAGACATTTGTCTTAATTGCTCCATGTGTGCTCCCTCCTCCTCCTCCCCCCCCAAGGGAGTTGGAGGGAGATCATTCTGTTTCAATAATGAAGTCACAGAAGCATACCTTGGATTTGCCATCAAATCTCCAGGGAGAGGCTTATTCACCATTTCAGAGCTTCTCTAAACTGTTATGGTCTCGCTGCTGAAATGAAGTCTTGGAGGTTTTCATGGCATGGATTGAAACTGAAAAGAAAAATAAAAGCCATCAGGGTGACTTATTGAGTTGGTTAACACATATTGCAAATAATGTGCTATTAAGGTCATAATAGAGTGAACGCATGGATATGCTGAAGGCAGGTTTCTATCTTTGGGAGGAAAGATGATTTTCTAACCTCTGGTACATTCCACCTGCAAAAGCTCGATAGTCCTGGTGGCCTCCCACGTTTCAGTCTCAGGTGGATGTTCAGCTGCTCACGCAGCTTCAGCTTGCAGCTCTGAACACATCTGACCCAGCTGAAGTCACAAACCCACCAGAAACCCCATTCCTCACTGGCTCTGCCAGCTCATTCCTCCCACCAGGGTTTAGTCTAGCATCAAAGTCAATGCTTGTGGGGACAGGAGGGATCAGCACGGAAGGGTACTGAGTTGCTCTACTGCAGGTTAAGTCAACCTCACCCCTTCAAGAATCCTTCCCTCAGGGAAGTCAGTGAGGAGCACCCAGTTACTCATCAGTGAAGAGGTGTGAGGTTGAGGACAGGACTTCAAGCAGGGTCATAGGCAGTATAATGCTCCTGCTGAGCATCAGAGGAAGGTGTGACAGACAGGTGTGATAGATGTGCTTCCCCCAACAGTTTTATGCCAGCTCCACCTGCCTCAGCTTTCCCACCAATCCCCTCAGAAGGGAAATGATTAAGGGTTAAACCTGAGCCTAGCTCCCATGGGAAAGACTGGAGTGCTTTATACTTCACTGTTGCCTGGATCAGATAAGACCAGTTGTGGTCAGTTACTGTGATGCCTCGAGCTGGGCATGGCATCCAAAGAACCTGTGGCTTTCCTTACCCTGCAGCGAGGAGATCCTGAAGATGTGGGATGTAGCTGACCACAGAACGCTCACCAGCCTGCGGCAGAAGGTATGAATTATGGAGTTGACATCCACTGTAGATACACTTGTTCCTCACTCCAGCCAGCTGAACACAACCAGGCAAGTCAATAATCTTCATGTCCAAGGATACTGGAGCTAGAGATAAGATTTGACAACTTTGAACACTGAGGTTTGATCAAGTGCTCTATTTCTTTGGCTAGAACTACCCATTGACACATTCCATGTCCTGCTATGGCTCTTCTTCAGGAGTTCCAGCTACAGAAAACATGCAGAGTTGCATGCAGGGCACAAGGGGTCCACGTCTATGGGAACTGTCAGTCATAAAAAGGACTGCTTAAACAGCTGTATCTTAGGAAAGATCCCTTATCACACATAGAACTGGCTTTGGAATTTCCTTGTTTTCCTGGATTTTCCTCTTCAGTCAAGTTTTATTATTCTGTTCTTTCCTGTTACATGTGAGAATTTATAACATGCCCTCCTTCAGCCTACTTCAGCTCATCTTTATCACTGAATTCAATAACCTCAGAATAAGAACAGTTCTCTCTTCTCCCTTCTGCCCCTAATTAAGATGCTTTTAAGCATCCCCCCTCTCTTCCTCCCTTGGGTGATACCTAATTAGCTCTTGTAATTAAAACTGTGCCCGAAGGGCTGAGCTTTGCACAGATGTTGGCTTTGTTCCAGGCAACACCGTGGGGTTACTGTCAGGTTCTGGTTGCTCCTCAGCTCTTGGGGGACACCAGAGGGGCCTTACAGAAGATCACAGTAAGGATGTCATCTGAGGTTTTGGGATCAGGGCCTTGGGGGACTTTTCTGGAGTATGCTGTATTTCTAAACTGGTTTTCCAGATGTTGACTTCCCACATTTCCTTCTGTAGCACTCAGCGGTGAGTCCAGAGCTTCCCCAGGTGAACATGGACAGCCTGCCCTGGAAGATTTTCCATCATTCAGCCCCAGATCAAGTTTCCTCTGCTCATTCACCTTAGGGTAAGAAAAAAACAAACCAGCAACCCATCCAAAAATCGGTTAGTTTAAATTTCCTCCCTGTTTAGATGTCTTCCTTTGAGCCCACATGCTGTAGCAGGGCTGGGGAGCATTTCCTATGGTCCTACCTACAGCAAATGTGATGCTCCCCTTGTGCTGTCATCCGTCCAACCATCTGGGCCTCAAGCTGCCCAAACAGGGATGCTTTGTCCTCTGAGACCAAGAGCTCACTAAGGTTCTTCTGTGGCTTAAGGCAAGCTCACTCAGAACCATTCAGAAGACTACACAGCCTCCCCCCTCTCACCCAGCCCTGCTGTCTCCATCACTTCCACAGTGCTCTTGGGCACCTGGATTTCTTTTCCTTCATCCATCACCACCCAGCCATCGAATAAGGACGAAAAATGGTATTGACCTTTGTCATTATTTATTACAAATTATATTTTGCAAATTACTGTCTGAAAAAAATCAATAGATTTAAATAAATACACAGATTTCAGGATGCTACATACGGCATGTGTGCAATAAGTCACCTAAAGATGAGACGTTACACACACAAGGAGATATACATAGTACTTTACAGCAGTAGTTTCATTTTAAATTACTAGGCTCACATTAAACCATGTGCAAAGTTTTCTCTGGAACAAACCCTTTAAGGATTATTCTTTTTGTAGAATGACTCAAACCTTCAGAAGGTCAAATATAGCAAAGACGCTCTGCAGCTTTGGGGACCAAATGATGAGTCTGCTCTGTCATTTACAATACAATCAGTTGGTCTCATTTTTACCCCCTCTAGGGCTTAAAGCAAAAATCAGAGACGTATTTTATATGTCCAATGGGACTATACTTCCAACAGCCACATATTTTTGGTCCAGCCACCAACTTTAAGCAGCCTTTTAAAATGCTCATGTGTAATACTGGATTGGGCAGCAAGGGGGACCCAACAGTGGTTCCAGGAGAGCAATTATTTCCCTGCACTAGCTGGATCTGCAGCCACAATTTAAAATACAAGTTAATCTGCCCAGGCAAACAAAAGTGCATTCACGGTACAGCTCCAGAGCCTTGAGATGGGTTTGCCTGTAAGATCAGTTCCTAGGTCCTGGGCTTAGTGCTTATTCCAAATTATTACTTCCCTTTGGGCCAGCAGCTCCATGCTGCTCCATGGCCTGGGAAGCAGCCATAACTCTGGCATGGGCTTAAATCCCAGCCTTTCTTCTAAAGCTGTGCTCTCTTCCCAGTCCTTTTCTCCACATCAATCCCACCTGGCTGCCCCTTGCCTAATGCATTCTCTGTTCGGGTTACGCTTCTCATAGTGACATGCTACCCATATACTGGTCATTAATTATATAGAGTCCAACTCCAAGACCTGATCTAAGCAAAGAAGCAAGCAAGCCTTTGCGTGCTATTTTCCCACCACCCATCTTCTCTGCCCCTAGCCTTTCCTTTCAGGCAGAGCTGAGATAAAGCTGGGATGTTGGGTTAAAAGATGGACTTACTCTACCCTGCTAAGGGTATGTCCAAGCAGATGAGACAGGGAACTCATCCAGACCTGCTCAGATCCAGTGGGGCTCCCTCTCTTGGACTACATGCATGGGGATCCTGCAGAAATGCAGCTCTGCTTCAGCCTCCCCCCTGCTGCTGCTGCTGCACTGAGTGGCAGGGGTCATGCTTGGATTTGATGCAAGCTCCAGTGTAAGCAAGCTATCCTCCACCTAAAGAGGAGCCACTTAAGGACGGCCCTTCGGGGAATTCCTCAGGCAAGGAATGCCACTGACTGCTCAGTTGGCTTTCAGGCTTCTAGATGATACACTTGTTTTAATCAAAACTGGGAGCTGTTTCACCATGGGAGTCTCATTCACACGCACATTGCACTGCCTGGCAAGTAAGAGAAGAAAGTGCAAAGGTGGGCTCGCACTGGAGGTAGCTTATCCCCGACTACAATGACCAGCCAAACCACCTCTGACTGGGGCCAAACTGGGACCATGCCTGGACATGGCTCAAAGGCAGAGCGGAGCAGGACAGAGATCTGGGCTCAGTGCTGCCAGGTCCAGAAGCACAGAGCCACCTGGTTTCTATGTGATTTAACTGCCCATCATGGGCTGACTCTCTGCCTAAGACTCCGGTGCAGAGTTAAGCTAGTACTCCTCCAGCAGGACCCTTGCCTGATCCAAAAAGGCACAATTCAGCTCCACGACATATCTATGACTGTATAGAGAGAGAGTTTTCCCTTTACAACAGTCTCTGGAGTGCATTCAGTACTGGTTCACGCAACAGGAGCATGGAGACTTCCACTTCTTCCCCCTTCCACTCATGGCCTTTCCTTCAGCTCTAACTACCGACAGTGGAGTTAGTGGCACCCACAGGACTCCCAGATTCTTCTGGTGAACTTGGCATGCACCTGTTTCTTATCTCTTCTTCTTCCAGATGTTTTTCTTCCAAGGCAAAACTGTTGGCTGTGCGCTCCTCCGGGAGCGCTGCTGATGCTTGCTGAACTGCAGGCTGGAGATGGCAAGATCCCTGGAAACAGAAAAGAGGCACGATGGTCACTGTCCAGTCCCTTTCTCTACTACACAGCAACATCCTGCAGTATGACACTCGTACACCCCTTGCCAAGACAAATTCTGAGGCAGAAGATGGGGAAGGAGGAGGGATAATTTCTAGCTGCAGCTGTATTAAATCACAGCTGAGATCCATCAAACCCAGTATTCCCTGAGGATCCAAGGAGCCCTGCAGCAGGGTGTGACCCCAGTGATGCTTCCCTAGTTCTGCCTTTCAGAAAGTGTTCCCATTGCATCTGATTTAACTACCACCAACAGATCAATGTGTCCTTCAACATGTCAGCTCCCTTTAACTCATTTACCTTCCATAACTCACTAATGTGAGAAAAGCTTCTGGTCTACAGTTGCTGCCCAATCTATCAGTTCCTACCTGATTGCTGCCCCTCCCCTTCTTGTGTGTCACCCATTCCATTTCAGAGGAACTTCCAATTCCAATCAAGAATCACATTTTATGTGATATTCCTCTAGTTTTGGAAGGACACAACCAACCCTGGTTCCCTCAGCTGTTAGCTTTCAGTTCTAGAGAGCAAAACCAGTCAAGTCTATTCATTTCAAGGGAGACCAGAGGGTGAAGTCAGGTCAAATCCAAGCGGTACCCACAGTCCAGGGTCTCAAAAGCAGATCTTAAGGTGCTCATGAGGGATGTCCAAAGCAGGGTTAAGTGGCATGCATACCTGAGAGCTCTCAGCAGGCCATGATGGGAAGGCCTCACACCACTGCTCTGCAGAGACTTCATTGATGCTCCAGAGCTCACTGGGAGCTTCAGACTCTGAAGGTACCTAATGAGCAAGAGGAGATGCATAAGCCACTCACATCCAGCCATGCTATGGTATGTGCCAGGGGGAGTGTGACAGACTAAGACAGCTGAATGAATGTTTTTGAAGGGTTAATTGCAGCTCTTTAAGAGCTATTCATAGCTCACTGTTACTGCCATCCTCTTCTGTCAGACCTCACTCTATTCACAGTCATATGTAATGATTGGGGAGTTTAGCTATTGCCTTGCTATGAAATCAGTGACAGGTCTCTACAATGACTTTGCTCCCCACCTCCTTACAGTGTAAGCACTCCTCTATGCCACTGGCTGAAGCAAGACAACTGAAAGCCCATGTGAGCTAAAAGAGCTGGCTATGGATGATATTTGACTTCCAATTCCCAGCTCACATCAGTCCTCCTCTCCTGCAGCCTCTCCCACCTAAGCCATGCAGGAGACACTGGTATGCCAAAGTCTGACACCCTCCACCTGCCCCTCTCCTGGCTCCCCCCTTTGCACCCCACACTTCCTCAGCCTCCTGACAGCGGATGGAGGCAGCATTGCTTCACATCACCTAGTAAAGAGACTGTTGTACAACAGGAACACCCTAGCGACACTTTGCCAGGGCCTCTTGGGAGGGGTATGAACGCCACTAGACAAGTTCCAGCTGTTTGCTAAGAGCTGCACAGCCATCCCCAGGGAGGCCCTAGAGCTCCTCGGCTCTGTCTGCTTGCACCCCCCCCCGAGCAGCCCCCCAGAGACACCCCCAGGACCCCCCTGGCTTACCCAGGCTTCGCCTGGCAGAAGGCAGCACAGATGCTGTCCCTCGAGTGCGAGCACTCACACCTGCCGAGCGATCTCTTGCGCCGCTTCGGAGGGCTCCCCAAGCCATAGGGAGCGGTGTGCCTGTTAAAAACAGAAGGCATCAGCTCCGCAGCTAACCTCTTTATTAGCCACAGGTTTATAGCACAGCCCTGGGAGGCAGCCAAGCCAGTGCCAGGATAATAAAAGACTCATCCATAGACATAAGGTGAAAAGGCCACTGATAGATCTAAGCCTTTAAACTCCAGCTCCTCTCCCACCTACTGTTTTCTCCACCCTACCCCTCCCAGGATGATTACCAATATGTGCTGGGTTGCAAGTGGAATTTTCTCTCCTTGCCGTGGCCCACCGCCCATTGCAAGGGTCACCACAAGTGCTGGGTGAGCTGGCAGTGTGGCAAAGCACTGCCCCAGTCCACCAGCAGCAAGCAGCCAGGTCCTTAAGCGCTGAGACATCAGTGCTTTCCCTCCCTGCCTCCATGGGTTTTAACACCCAGGACATGGTACAAATGAAGATGTCTTGGGGCCATAACAGGTTCTTCTGATCACAGCATGCTTTCAGAGCTGTTAGCACATTCCCCAGCTCCATCTCTGATAGTGATCTACTCTCCCAGAGGGTTTAGGATTGGCAGTGTCTGCAACTATTCTCTGAGCAAGCAGCGAGTTGTAATTGCACGTTAGTAAGCATGATTATAACCACACCTGAGTACATGTGTTTTGCTACAGTGTGATGGCCATTGGTCTGAAACAGCTCGGAAAGCTGCTTTAGCATTCCTGAGGGCAGTACTTGGCAGCCACAGGATGCTAGTGCCAGCCCACCACTGTCTCATTAACAATGCTGGCAGCAGCCAGGGTTACAGCGCGCAAGTGGGTAGAAAAACTTTCTGACTTGCAGCTCTAACACCTCAGAGTTGTGTTCAGCTTGCAGAGGTACAGAAAAAGTCAGATAAAGATGAGCCCCGGAGGAAGCAGCGCCCTGGGCTTTCCCTTCACTGCCCTGTGAGTTGTACTGAGTCCTGAGCAGAAACACAGCTTGTCCCTATCTGGATTTGAGAAAGGACTGGACTTACAGTGCTCTCCAAAGCAGGTGCTACAAGAGCCTCCCAGAACCCACATTCCTCTAACCTAACCCTATCCTCCAACAGAAAGCACGGTCACTCATCAGAATTGTCCCATCCCCTACCCCCCAAAAAAGCTATGTCCCTGCTCACCCAGGTGTGTTGACCCAGATGATATCCAGGTGACAAAAGTAGATGCATTCCTTATCCAGCCAGCTATTGCAGGAACATCGCTTGGTCCTGGAGTGCGAAGCCAGGGGGGACTCCAGCGGAGGGTGGCCCATACCTGCAGCACAAGGAGGAAAGGATGAGTTGCAGGCTGGGTGCAGAGCGCTGGAGTGCCCGTCCGTCTGTCATCTCTGCAATTACACCTCCCGTAAGGCTTACGGCGATTTCAACGTGCAGGCGGTTTTACAGGAGGTGCAGCCTTCACTCATTAGGCTCCTACAGGACTTGCACAACCCCGGCGGCTGCCGGGGCTACCCCGGAGCAAAAGTGCCCGGCAATGCCCCTCTCCCCGCCGCCAGCCTCGGGGCAGACCCCAGGCACCCTCCGGCACCCTCGCAACCCCGCTCCCCGAGCCGAAGGGAGCCGGAGGGGTGACCCCAACAGGGCAGGCACCCCCGGGGCACCGAGCCCCCCCCAGCCCGGGGCTCACCGTCTTCCAGGAGGGAGCAGAGGGCGAGCACCAGCAGCAGGGCGCCGGCGGGGTGGCTGGGCATGGCGCGGGTCTCACCGGCGTGGGGCTGCGCTGAGAAGGAGCTGGAAGTTTTGGAGACTTTTCCCTCGGGTTTTCTTTCTTTTCCCCACTCCCTAGCCCGGCTCTCCCGCTGTTTTCTCCTCACGGTGTTTTACCGGAGCCGCCGCGATGCGTCTGGAGCCGCAGGCGCCGGGCAGGTGCTTTATAGCGCGGCCGCAGCCGCGTCACGGCCCCGCTCCGCCCCGCAGCGTGGAGCGACCGCGGGCACGCGTGGGGCGCAGGCGCCCGGCGCTGGTAGACCTGTCCGCCTATATGGGTAGACCTGTCCTCAACATGGGTAGATCAGTCCCCGTGGGCACGCACGCCCCGCAGCCTTCGCGAATCCCGCGTGGGTCCTCCTATGGGGAAGAGAGAAGCGGCGTGAGGAAGAATGCTGCCCTTTGGGGGGTACAGCGTGGAGCGGGGTTCACTGTGTGCGCTGTTACGGGGGGGGTTCGGAGCCAGCCGGAGGGAGGTGAAGGCAGGGGGTTGGTTGTAGCCGCCGGCCGGCAGATGGAGTGGGGGGTACAGGAAGCGTGTCCCGCTGTGGGAGCCCGCTGGCCGCCGATGGTCCTCACGGGACCCCCCCACCTGCTTCGTTGCTCCAGGCATAGCAAAAAGGGACGAGTTGAACCAGGCAGTGTAGTGGGCTAGCCTGTTCTGCATGGGCTGGTTTAACCTGGGTAAACCAGGCAGAATCCCAAGTTCGGTTAAGTTTCATGTGAAATCGTTACTCAGCTCAAGAGACTGCATCTGTTAAATGGAAGTCTCTGCTTCCTCTCTCCCTTTTTCATAAAATCCATTTAAAGTGATTTGCTAGGTCTAGCAATTAAAATTTCTCGCAGTAAAACTCTCTGGCCGCTCTCTGGTTTTGCTTCAGCATTAATGATGGCATTCTCAACATTATCAGAACATTTTTAGGATACGAATCATATAAAACACTGATGTCACCTCCCAGCAGGCACAAGGAGGTAGTCAAAGAAAGCATCTTCATCTTGCCCATCATGTGTGTATCATGCAGAAGCAGGAAACTGTCCCATGGAGAAGTGTTGGGGGGATAACAGCTTTCAGGCACCCCATGTCCACTGAAGCTCAGAAAGGCAGCTCGACTTCATCAATCCTGGGAGCAGAGTACGTCTCGGAGCACGAGCAGGTTAGAAGAGCAAGCATAGAAAAGCCAACAATAAACTACTGCACTTGATTTTCTTATGATGGATTTAAAGGTTTCTTAGAAAAAGGGAGTGTGTTTTTATTTGTTTACCATAAGCAGTTTAGGGTTTTATTGCACTGTTGTCATGAACAGAGGCAAAATGACGGCAATTACAGTCAGTCAGTGTGAGGCTTCATGCAAAGTGTAACACGTGCATGAGGAATGGAAAGAGGAATAAGAGCCAGAGTGTGTGAAACTGCTTTCATCTGAGCAATGGCTTCTGCTCACAGTCTCATGGAAGTAAATTGGGTTGCGGATGCACTCCTGCAAGAAATGATAGAGTTTAACATGCACTCAGACCTAGCAGCAGTGGGAATCCCTCTCTATATTCATGTGAAATGCATGCAGAAGATACGTGCAGGGGAAACCTCACAGTGGGATAAGAAAATATGCCAAGGGGAAATTGTTGCTCTGTTCGCAGACAGCTCAGATGGTGATGGCACATGAGAACACAGATACTGTCAAGGGCTCCATTGACTGAGTAAGGATGAAGTGTGGGGGCACAAGAGGTCAGAGCAGATGAAAAACATACATATGGGAATGCAGCTAAAATAGCAAGGAGAGGACATGTTGGGAAGAGAAAGTCAGGAATAGTGACAACTTTAGTTTAAAATAATAAGAAAGTACAAATATAACTGATAAAATGACGCTTCAGTGTGATAGGCAAACCAGCAGAGGGAAGTTTTTAACCTCTGTACCAATGCAACAGACACTCTGAAGAAAATAGGGAAATACAATAGCAGCATTACCTGTTTCAGCCCATATTCCAGCTGTGCCAAGTTTCAGAGTTATGTCAGAGCTCGCATACTGTGTGACATTCCAGATGCCAGTTCAGTGATATAATAAATCTCTCTTGGCTCCAGTTTCTGTGATCCTTGTTCTGGTCAGTGCAAGGTGAAAGAAGATACCCTCGACGTGGGGAAGGTAACGCAGCCATAGTTACCCACCCAGAGGAAATAAATAATGGGGAACAAATGACATAATTTTGCTTAAAGAAGGGGTACTTTCATAGCAAACCAGTGCATGAAGTATGAGACAGAGTCACATTAATGTGGCTTTCCAGGATTCATTTACTGAAAGGAACAGCAGAGAACTTTGTCACACAGAGACTTCTGTCACTCACAGACCTCATGCCTCCAGGAAGGAAAAAGAGTCTCAAGTTAACCTGAGGTTTTGGAGATTTGGGTTCAAGCTATTTACTTTACCCGACTCCTTTTGTGGCCATAGCTTTGCTCTTAGCTTACATTTCCAAGAGGTGCCTGAAGCTACACGTACCTGTCTGTGAAGATCTCTTACTGAGTCCCTAGAAGACAATGCCCAGGTATTTGCCTTTAATACACGTGCAAAAACACCTTTACAATCTAGACCTTTCATCCGCGATCTCTCCCTTCTTTTCTTAATTTCTCATAAATCCCAAGAGATTTACACCATTGTAGAAAGTGGAACAAATGTTACACCCTCTCATTCGTGTCTTCCTACTGAATGGAGTTTGAACTCATTTTGTTCTCCAGGAAATACCCAACTGTGTTGAGCAGGCACAAACCTGACCAGCACATGTATGGATGTTTGGCACCAACCTGTCAAAGATCTTAAAGGATGTGGAGCTATGGATGAAAGTCTGTTTGTTGCAGGGATGCAGGAACCCTGCAGAGATGAGGTGGTGTTGGGATCGCATTGACCAGGACTGCTTTGAAATGACCCTGCTCTGAGAGCTTTGTCCAGAGCTATAGAATTTCCGTGTGAAATATACAATGACTTCTTCAAAAGTAATCTGCCTTTAGGCTTGTAAAGAATGTCCAGAAAGAGGCTTCAGCATCAGCCATCCCCACAGAGTGTTGTTCTGGTATCTAACTGGTGCTTTCAAGAGTAGCTACTCATTTTAGGCTGAAAGTTCTATCTCCCCTTGTGCTATGGGCTGGGGGGTCAGCTCAGGCTGGGAGTGATGGCTCTCCTTGACCCAGACACAGACAGGCTGCACTGCTCCTACAATGCCTCTGCTCCCCTGATACAGAGTCGTGGCCACTGCTTCCCAGGGCCAGCCCTCCTTGCGTTGTCACCACACTAAGATCACAAATTAAACCAACAGCCTGGAGCAGAGGGACGGGTCCATGCTACACAAACACAGCTTCCAAAGAAGGAACAAAGGGAAACGCAGGGTGCTAAATGCCAAAGATGGGCTTTGCCTCCTGCAGTTATTTTTTCCCTTTTGTTTCTGACTGTAGGAATACATTGTTCACTTCATTGTGAAGAGTTCCAGGCAGACATGACGAAAGGGACAAAACAGCTCAAGAAAAGAGACATCCCGTGCAGCATTCATGAAATGTGTTGTTTGGAAACAAGGAACGAGCAAACAGGAAAGTGCTTTAACCATTGAGAAGACGGGATCCCAGCGTGTTCTTGGCACCAGCAGGAACAATGGGGTGATGTCACGAGCCAGAATTCTCCATGGTGGGTGGAAGCCCAGCAAATAATCATCATTCTTGCTCTGGGACATCACCAAAATTTCTCCACAGTTGGTCATCCCCCACTGAGGCCCTGTTAGGAAGTATAGGAAAGAGACTTTGGCAAATGAAGCTTCCTTTGGGAGATCCATCTCTCCACTCCCTACCCCCAGATCGATGCATCAGTTGCTATAAATCACTGCTTTCTGCTGACTCCAGGGCATTTCGGTGGTGGTGCTGGGAGCTGAGCACAGGCTGCCTGAAGAATGGGTTTCACACAGTGAAGAAGGGTGCACCCAAAGGCCTGGGTACTTCTAAGGGCAAAGGGGCAAAGTCTTGATAGCTATCTAGGGCTTTGAGCCAACACAGTATGGAGCGTTGCCCTTGCCATTCCAAAGGTGCTGAGCATGGCGAGGAGCTTAGGAGAAACAGCCTTGCACAAACAGTGGTGTTTGGAGAATTTCAACCAAGCTTAAGGCTATTAAATAACATAAACAATATGAGGGCATCCTCCAGATCACATTTTCTTATTCTGGCTTGAAGTCAGTTCTTTGGAGAGTGACCTGAAGCTCACTTGCAGCATGCAGGCATTTTCTGAAGCAGTTCCTGAATTCTCCTTTGGCTCCTTCCTTTTGTCAGGGACCATTTTCCTGTTAGGGTGGTGAGGCACTGGAATGGGTTCCCCAGGGAGGTTGTGAATGCTCCATCCCTGGCAGTGTTCAAGGCCAGGTTGGACGAGGCCTTGGGTTTAGAGTGAGGTGTCCCTCCCCATGGCAGGGGGGTTGGAACTTGATGGTCTTAAGGTCCTTTCCAACCCTAAATATTCTATGATTCTATGATTCCCATGAGAGGACTGGGATATCCAGGCAATCCTCACAGCTTGGAACAGCTTTCAGTCATTATTGGGCTATTACTGAAACCCCAGACTGCTCACAGCTCTCCAAGATGTGCTCTGTAAGACCTCAGTTTCTTTGCAGATCAAACCATCTCTGGGCTGTCATTTCTTTTGTTATATGAAGGTTGGTGCTACCATATGGGCAGATGGTACTGCTTGGCCAAGTTGGCCATGGGATTAGTCTTTCAACAACAAAAAGAACTTCAGTGAGTCTAAGCCATGAAATGGGAAACCTAAAGAAAAGAAGCATTAAGGCATGAGTGCTTGCATGGTTTCCTGATAACAGATTTGTCCCTGTTCTCTGTTGGTCTGTGGTTTGCATTATCAGTGCCTGAATATACACTGGAGGGTTGTTTCTCCTGGTCCCCCATTTTCCAGATCTGTGTTTGCTTTCCTCATCCTAGGAGTTTTCAGGGAAAACCAGTGTCCCCACAGAGAGAAGCAGCCTGGCCCCAGGCACTGGGACTGCCATGGGAATCTTCTAGAGCTGTACTGCTGCCTCCAT